TGATGCAGTCCAGGAATTTGTGGTTCTCTGCCACCTCCTCAGGGGTTACAATTTCTGGCTCGCCGGTGTCACTCACATAGTTATCCAAGAGGGAAATAAAGGCTGTAGAAACAAACACAAGCGCTCTTCAAAAAGGGATTTCTGTTATCAGTCCTGAACATGGATACAATGACAATTATTATAGCTGAATGCAAACCTCCAACTCAGTACAGTATATACAGAAAAAGTCTCAAAACCAAATCAGCAAAAAATGCCAAATTCAAGGTGAGGGACAGTTTGTTTGTAGCCTTTATTTAACCAGGTGAGGGGAGACCTGCAGCACAATGGTTACACATAACAACAACAGAAAACAAAAAGGACATCATACAAAATAATTACAGGGGTGCAAATTAGAAACCTATTCACAATGACGACAGGTATCAAATAAAATGTCATCCAGCCGAGCTTTAAAATGATGCAAGGGAACCAAAATGCTCAGTTTCAAAAAATGTTGCATAGTGTTCCAAGCTAGAGGAGCAGCGCACATAAAAGCTTTAGTACCTAAAACAGTCCTAGCACTTGGCACATGTAATGAAAACAGTAAAGTAAAGCAGGTTGCTGGAGACTATGTATACAAAAAGTACAAAAATTGCATAAATCCTTTTAACTGGGCAGCTGCCTCAAAGTGAACTCTATTTCAGCTGTTACATTACCAGTCCCTCTATACAGCCCTGTGCTAGGGCAACGTGGTGAACAATAAACACTGAAAACATCACTAAACAAGTATTGCCGGGAAAAAATGTGTATCAGCAGTTTTCATGCAGAGAAAGTCTTGAAAAAGCCAGCGGTGGTAGAAGAGAATATTTCGGTACCCATCACAAAAGACTCTGCATGCTCTGAGGTTATGAAACATGCTGCTGTCCGTCATAAGGAGATTAAGAGTCGACGAAGAAGCTTTTCTCAAACGTCGAGGAGGATAGTACCAAACAGACAGTGGAATGTGGAGATTATGTCAATTGAAACCTTTTCTGACAGAGCTGTTGTGTAAGAAGCAGCCTCTTTCCACAGAAACAAGGGAAATACATTAGGACAGATAATTTCACTTTTGGATCTTTTCCCTCATGCACTTACCTAAGAAAGTCTCCTTTTTGAAAATGGTCTCATCGACAAATGTAAACAGAGGAGATCCTGCTCCATCGTTAAGGTCCTCCAACGGCATGCTGTGAGCAGCTTTGCCCTGAGGCAGGAAGAGAAACACTCACATTTTAAAATGACACTCAAATTGTCAATGCAAAGTCAATGCTTTCTGTTCCCAAAAATATACAATTATTTTCTTGCATGCTCCCATACATTCAGCATTCAGTCAGTGCATTACAACCTAGATTCACTAACACAGTGTCAAACAATTACCAAACCACAGTGAAGGGAAAATATATAGGTGATACAGAAGAGCTGATACATCAAACAACCGGAAAAAAATCGATTCTGTTATCTCATCTGTGGTTTAAGTTAAGAGCATATCATATATTCCTTTATATACCTTAATATAATGTATATATTTAGTCATGTGACATGTGATACAATTTGCTAAGAAAGTTGGTATTAATAGGTTGGTATATGAACATGAGGTTCTTAAAATACAGACCTTGCAATTGTAAATGTGTTTGTGTGTCTCTCACCTGCAGAGAGATCCTGTAGTCCTTTCCGGGTTGGAGTCTGTTCACATCGCTGTCCCACAGCTCCTGCATGATGGATGACAGCTCTCTGTCGCTCTCAATCATGATGCAACCGCTCGATGTTCCTTTGTCTCAGTGTTTTTCTCTAACAGGAGAGGAACATTAAATAAGGTTCAGTGTAAGCAGCAGACGGTAACTAAAATGTTAAAGTTTTAGTCCTTTTTTGATTTTTATGTTTACTTGTTTGTATACAAACATCTGTTGAGATGGTAAAACATGATTTAGACTGATTTTGAGATCGTGGAATTGATCTTTTACAATTTTTAAGGATTTGTATACTTTTTAGATTTTTTTTATCTTAAAAGTGTGAGTGTTTGTTTTTATCTGGGTTAGATAAAGATCATTTTAAAATGTAAAAAGTTATTTTCTTCACATTTTAATTCTGGGAAATTTCCCGTAACTTTCAGAAGATGATAACATTGAAGAAACATTCCAGTGGGTCAAAGTAATCTCAAATCATCTGTTAAGGAGTTTAATTAAAGGCACTATGCCTTTTGTAATGTTGTTTCACATTCTGTTCATGAGACACAAATACAACTTAATTTATTCATATTGAACTACTGCATGATAAAGATAGCTCTTATGTATACAGCCATTTGTTGGCACTGTATGGGGGTATTCATTTCGGAATTTTTAATCTGACAAAGACATGATGAATAAAAAGTTATTATATCTAAAATGCTTTAGAATTGAATTGTAGACTTCCTTCTTACATACACACAGATATTGTTAGAGATATGAAAGTAAAGCTTGATAAATAACCACAAAAAAGTCCATCAAAAGGCTATGATGAAGCAATTGTCTAGTCCACACCATTGTAAAAGACATAATAGCATCGCCCAGCCAGACAGAGTTTATCCATCCAACTCAACACCACCACAAAAACATGGCTGACAGCAGAACACATGACACTGATCCCTGGGATCCTCAGCATTATCATCCTAGCAAAAATCCACTGACCTCTGTCCTGTGAGCCTGATTTTCTGCTTCAGCGTTGTAAGAGTTAGTGAAGTTCCTCAGTGATGGTCAGGTGCTGCTGGTTGTGGTTTCCTGTGTTTGTGACAGCAGGTGTCTTTATGGGCAAAGTAACAGCTCAGTCAGTGTATGGAGAAAGACAGGCAGGGGCTGGAGGGGGGGCGAATAGAGGGCACGAGGCAGGGGACAGGACAGGACAGGAAAGAGGGGCCATTTGAAAAAGGTTGTCCCCTGTCAGCAACTCTAACCAAAGGGATTACAACATGTTGTCGTCTCTTTTCAATCTCAGGCTAAAATGTGCGCTCTTTGTTTCTTTAGTATTTCATTGTTTGTCTGTCTGTCACAGTATAACCTCTGGAGTAGCCTACAGGGTAAATGTGGTTCATGTTTCAGGTAATAAGGCGTTGTAAAGGTGTACATAAAGCACTACAGAGAGCAATTTATTTAAAAAAACAGGGGGAAAAAAATCTTGGGTTGGAACATTTCTAGACAAATCGAGTTTGGGAAAACCTTATTCAGATCTGTGACCAAGAAAATACTGACACTGACAGCGTTGCTATCCATCACTTGTGTATACACAGGTATAGCCCTGAATTGCAGGCGATAATTGTTTTGTTGATTAATCTAAACAATTTGTTTATGTCTCCTCTGTTAAGACTTACACAGGTGAAAATCCAGTTACTTTGTTATTCCTTTTCTTTATTTTCATCTTGGAAACAGAAGGAAAACAAGCTTTGCCAGGTTAAAAAAATAGTTAAACACATTCATTTTCTGTTCCAGGTTCACAAATCTGCAATTTAGATATAAACTAAATGATGCCTACATAGACTTGTATATAAATATATGATTTACTGTGTTGTACTTCTTATGCGATCTTTCACTGCTGACACCTCGTTTCTTCCTGACATGAAACACAATTGAACTAATTTGACTGCAACTTTTTACTTTTGGGAACCAGTTTCTATGTGACACATTTTTTCAGTACCTTTGGACCAATGAAGCTCAGCGTAAATTCAACCAGGAAGACCGTCTATTCACTATTCCCATGTAACTACTCTCCCTCCTCTCAATAAGTGATCGGGGGCGTCACTCTCCAGCTTAACCAATCACTTCGCTCTATTCCGAAGAGCCTATCATAGCGCTCTGCCAAATCTTTTAAGTCTGCTCTCCCCCCTCTGACAGCTGTCATTTCAGGTGACTTCACGCAACCCTCCTCCACCCCTTTTCACCCCCCGTCACTCCGAATCCAGGGTCAAGCTAAACCACTCCTCTTCAGACCGACCCGACTATCCATTGACTACCGTCAGTGTCTAGACCCCAAGGGGGTTTCATCGGATCGGTTCTGCCTCCCGAATGATACTTTCTGCACAACGGGGCCTAATCGTCAAAATCACCATTACATTAATTTGTGTATCTTTGCAATACATATGTATTCTTACATCAAAACCGTCTCTCCTGATTGAAACACAAGTGTTGTCCAGGTGAAGTCTCAGTTTCCCAATTGATCTCACTGAAAAAAAGTCAGTGTGTTAAGTGAGGGCAGAACAATTATGGCAGCAAAAAGGGGATTTTTTCAGAGTCAGATAAAATGAATACAATTAATAAAATGTGCATTTTTTACTTTTATTTGAATTATTATTAAATTCATTATGCATATGAATTTTAACAAGATTCTGCAGGTACTGTATTCAAATGTTTACTAAATTAGACATTCAGTGACATTTGATCTGCACTTAAGGGGAGATGAATCCAGGTAAGTTCCTAGACTCATCAAAAGATTGTCTTTTTATCAGTACCACCGGCATAAACTCTGAAAGTAGTCTTTTGGAAGAAGTGAAGAGCAAATCATTCAATTGTAGTAAGAACAGATTTCATGCAGATCTCAAATTCAAACAGAACATATTCCATGAGATAGTCAACCTTCAGGTCAAATGTAAACAAAAGAAAATAAATTAACATTATACAACGTGTTTTTGTATATCTAGACAGTATCATTATTATATGGCCTCTTTGACACCAGACTTTGGCAACATTAAAGAACAGTTGTACAAAGGAGGGTGTAAATAAATCAAATATCATTGCTGAATGTTTTGACTGTTTACCAAGTGAGGATTTCTTTTCTCACAGCTCAGTCCCTGAATAACTCGACACACACTGTGATCACGGTAACCCCCCCCGGAGGATTGAGTGCCATAGATATAATCTGCAGTGGCCTTCATTATTACATTTTGTTTCGAAAACTACATTTGACTTCAACTTCTTACCCTTAACCACTCCCATACAATTCAACCTTTCAACCTGCCTGATTTGTATCACATGATGTGCAAAGGTGTGCTTTAGTAAAATAACTCATCTCAAGGAAAACAAATTAGAACATTATTTTCAGAGAGGAGAACAAATATCACATTTTGGCAATAGATACAAAAATGTCTATGATGATAATATCTGGGCGACGTATTTCCAAGTGTGCCTCCATTGCTTTCCCTATGTTCGTGACTATGAAGATCATGCAATTATCCACCTTGGGAGTTGTTGAAAAGTTGTTAGTTGGTGGCATAGTTGTGACACTTGACATAAAGCCAGAAAGAAGTTAGATATTTAATATAACAAGCAGGATACTTATCATGATAAAAAGGGCCAAATGCAGTCCTCCATTTCCCTAGAACACGCAGTTATTGGGCAAATAGAGGCAGCCACGTTGGATTTACCAAACAGTCAGTGGTTGCAGTATCACCTGTTGATCATTGCAAGCCTGTGAGATGTCAAAGCTCATGAAAAAACCCAAGCGGACAGACACGGATGATCTTTGAGCTTGAAATAACAGTTAGGTCCTATGACATTGTCATATCTAAAATATCTAATATAGTCTTGATGTTCATGAATATTTAACAATGTGTATAATTATAACCGTTTTTATTTCTAATCCTCTCTGAACAAATACTTTATATACATGTCATCCGTCATATATAAAGTAAATATAAACAACTTGTTTTCTACTCAAGATGCATTATTATATTCCAAACATAAACCATGGTACATGTATATGGTTGAAGGGGCACTCCTGGGCTTTTGCAGGCATGGTACGTGTCACAGGTGAAGTGATGTGAGATGAAGTGAGATAAAGTGCATTCAGATGGAGCATTCAGACACTGCCCAGGTGTCAGTCCTCTTCATCACTCCAGAAGGCATCTTCTTCCTCAAGATCCACACCTTGGAAGAGTCTGCAACAGGCAAACAAACAACACGTCAACCAATGTGTCTGTGTACAGTAAGTATCCGTGACTACTTCCCTGGTGCTGTGTACAAAACAATAGTAGAAAGAAGATTACTCACTGGTTGTAACAGGGTGAATTTGGGTTGTTAAAGTGGCTGTAAGGGTTGACTTTGCTGAGGATGCCCAGACACAGCCAACAGAAGTATTGTCTACACGAGGTACAGGTCATCTTATTACAGCCATCATCTTTCTAGAAAGACACAAAGACAAGGCATTAGCAGCAGAGGGATGAACAAACAGCAGTAAACAACAGAAAGGGAAACAATCTGAGTCTGAACATGGGGATTTGAAGGGACAGTGTGGTCTGGATAGACATGTTTTTTTTTAAGTAAAGCAAAGGTAGGGAATACACATTTGAGAAGCACGTTTTATTGTATATTTAAGATTAATCCTTATGGTATTTAAATATCAAATGCTCTGACAAAAGAAAAATCAGTTAGATCTTTTTAAACAAAAGCTAGCTTATTTACTAAAACCATTTGTAGCAGAGCTATGCATCAAGCACTGGCAGCAGATATCATTTTGAAAACATTCTTTGAACACATTCTTGCAGTCGGTGTATAATGTTAAGTAAAGAAAATGTTTCATATTAAAAGCAGTGAACACTGACCCCTGGTGATAAAGTCAAAGCTTGTTTTAAGTGCACTGAACAGCAGGAGGAGCTTACCTGTATGTTGGTTCCACAGCGAGGGCAGCCTTTGCAGTTCTCATTGAGCCAGTCTCTGCTAAAGGACTCTTCCACAGCTTTCTGGATCACCCTCTTCCCAAAGCGCTGCTCCATGAACTTCTGCCCCGCAGGTGTGGCTGACAGGTATTCATCTCTGAGGTTACGCAATTCATCTGTGGATCGAGGCAGAAAACAGGGACAGGAACTCAAGAGTTGGGATTGAGAAAATGTGGTACTCATTTATTCTTCTTTAAAAAGTCATAACCATTATGGAACCTGAAAACCAAATGTTATTCACTATGTATCGACCCATATGGATTTTTAATGTGTGCTTAGCTTTAAAAACTAAACACCAAATCTGCAGTGTTAGTTCTGAGTCAATTGTTAGTAGTTACTTGATAGTAGTTTTCCAAGCCCACAGTATTAATTGTATTTCAAATACATGGGGGCTTAATTACAATTTGTCTTCAACTAAAATGTTGTCTTCCAAAGATTATGCTTTTTATAATTTGTATTATAGTTGAATTATATTCAAAATTCAAGGAAACTGTTTCTACAGTCAAGTAGTAATCTTGTTAGATAAGCCAACCTGTTGCTTGAGTCCTTTATAAACTTTTGTTGTGAAGCAAACCTGTTCTTAGTGACCTCACCTGCAGGGAGTTTACAGTGGGAGAGACCATGATAGCCCATCTTGCACAGTGTACAAAAGGCATACTGGCAGGCTGAGCAAATGGCCATGGTTGAGTCTGGCTCCACCATGACCGCCGTGCCGCAGGACTGACGGGGACAGTACACCACGTCGGCCATGAGGTCCAGGCTGGACTGCAGCAGTAAGCGGTCATACCGGGCAAACAGCTCTTCATCCACCAGCTGCTTCACCTGAGAGACCACAATCAGATCAGAATTCCTTTGTTTGTCCGTTAGAGGGGGAATTTACATTATATCAGCAAAGAGACAGACATGATAGAGACAAAATAAAGCAGTATCGAAACAGTATTTAGTAAAGTGAACAGTATTTAGAAAAGTGAGAACACGTATTAAAACATTTAAATATAATAATGACATATTTCTAGATAGAAAAGTATATAGTGGCAAAAATAAAAGGTGAAACAAGAAGAAAGTAATAAAGTAGCTGCAGTATGACAGTAGCAAATACTATATTACCTATTTTAAATTATATAGTGCACAGTTTTATGTTACAAAAGTGTTGTCACAGGTGAAATGGTTTATTACAAAAGATGTAGGCTCAGTGGCGGTTCTAGAACATTTTACATGGGGTGGCAAAGGGGGGGCAAGAAGTCATGCCAGGGTGGCATGGGAGGGCGGACAGTACGTTGTATTTTATACTGTTTAACCTATTTATTGTTCATTCATGCCCTAACACAAGTGTTCTTAATGCACAAGAGAAACAAGGTGTGACAAACAATCGGGTGCCCTTTGAGTCCCCCAAGCTTACTTCAACAATTTTAAAGGAAAGGAAACTACACAATGTATTTTAAAGCAATGAATTAATGGAACAGGTTGTTTTGCATTACAATGTAAAACTAAATATATATATATATATATTTTGTTTTTAAAAATTGGTTGTCTTAGTAGTAGACAGACATATTTGCATGTCCTCACTAAGCATTATTACATATTAATTTAATATTAAACAAATCAAAATGGCCAATTATCCCAAAATGTTGCTGCTAATATAATCATATGCTTGTCAACTTTGACTGATCAAAAAGAAATTCTGAAAAAATACTTGAATTATCTATGAAATTGCAATATTGACACACGTCCCTCAGTTTGTTTCAACCCCGTCACGCCATACCATTTACCCTCCTATTAAAATAATGGATCAGTCCATGTGTGATCTGCATTGAGGGAATTACATCACAAAAGTCTTCTGAAGAAAAGATGGCAAAGAAAGGCAAGTGTCAGTTTCTTCTCTTATTTCAGTTTTTGTATTTTCAGATTAAGATTGACATGCTCAACATTTCAACTCTGTTATATGAATTAATAATAGTAAATAATTGTTTATTAAGTTTTGCAAAATATTACAATTTTGTAATGTTCTTGACTTCCATGTGGTGCCATATCTTAGCTAAACAAGGTCTCATGGCTACTTTTTGTCAAAAACTTCAACCCTGTTATTTTTCAAGGAAATTCCTAGTAATTATTTATATGTTGTGCCTGAGGTGGGAAAATGTAAGTAGTCCACTACCAGATGTTATGACCAAACATTTTGGTTTCATTTTTCAAAGATGTAAAGACCCAAAAGGCACCCGATTCAGAGAATACTCAGAATTCTGCTTACTGTAAGTACAGTAAAAGTACTTAGTTATAATTAAGTACACAAATGACATCACCCATCTCTTCAGAGAGCTAAAGGTGACCTGTGCAGCAACACATTTCAATCAATATTTGTCAATACTAAGAGCTGCTAGATTGTGCTGCTGTGATGGAATATGTAAGGAGAGTCTCCTCTGCCTCCTGATCCCTGCCTCTGTCCCTCTTTCTGACACTTCATCTTTATTCCAATCCTCACATAGCCTACATGTCTTCTTCTTCACTAATGTCTTCATCTCCTCCTCTTCCTCCTGCTCTGACCCTCCTGGTCTCTTCATCTCCTCCTCTTCCTCCTGGTCTCTTCATCTCCTCCTCTTCTTCCTGCTCTGACCCTCCTGGTCTCTTCATCTCTCTCTTCCTCTTCGTCCTGATCACTTCTCAGATATGTCTTTTTGTTGTTGTTGAATCACTCCAGCTACTCTGGCCTGCAAGAGTCTACTTGTGAAAAGCACTGGTACAAATGCTTGTATAACTTTACACGTTAGGGCCATGTAACTAATAAGTAGCATAGTAAATATAACATCAGAAAGTATTTATCAAACGCACACAGGCAGCTGTGTTTAGATCCAGTTTTTGAGGTAAAGGATGTATCCTGGTTTCATTGATCTTGCTGTGATGTGTAGTTTACGTGGATTTAATAGTACCGCATAGTTTAGCAAAGTGATCGATCTCCCAGCTGTCTACGTAGCATTTTGTAACGTAACGCCCCAAACAGCGCCCGTCTGTTAAACGCTATCGATTCAAACGGCTGCGTTTTATTAATATTTAGTTTCAAGCTCTCGTCCTTAGTAAAAACAAAACCAGTGGAAGGGGAAATGCTCCCAGGGGAAGCTGATCCATAGGTGCTGGGACAGCTCGTTCCCTCTCTGCAGCTGTGTGAGCCGTGGTCTGTGTGAACGCCGCTCCGCAGTTTAATGCAGGGCCGTAGCTGCCTTAACGGGCCTAAAATTATATTTAAAATGATTCCCTTTTGACTAATGTAATGCTTGTTTCGTTGCTTGAGAAGCTTGTGGAAATAATGTAGGTTTGTTTTAGTACAGTTTTAGGGAAACAAAAGTTAGGGGGGCAGCTACCCCCCCCTTGCCCCCCCGTAGATCCGCCCCTGTATGGCACTGTCATATACATTGAATTATTCCATTTGATAATATGTAATCAACTTACGCACCCCTCCCAAAAAAACAATTACGATAAAAATATTCATAACTCATATTCTCATATTCGAATACCTGAATAATTTTGAATATTCGATTAAATCGTTCCCATCCCTAGTTTAGATTTGAGTGTTGCTTTTGTGTCTATTATGAGAACTTGTATACTTATCTCATTTACTCTGTTTTTTTTCAAAATGCTCTATGTATTTATCACTTACTTTCACTTTTTATTTAGTTGTTTTCTTCCAAGCTGGGATGGGGGTGGGGGGTATATTTGATCTGCTTTTTTGACAGTGACATTCTGTATGATTTTTCTTTGTGTTAAAAGCGCCAGCTAATTAAAAAGGGATTGTAATGAACCAGCAGCACAGCGGTGTCTCGTCTCACCTGTACTGCTTTGTTCCGCCTCCTCTGTGGCCATCTGCATGAGGGCGTCCAGCACCAGTGCGTTATCCAGCCACGTGTACCAGTCCTCCAGCTCCTGCAGGAAGTTCGCTCCAGTGGCTTCAGACACCTTTCTAGTGGCCAGCTTACACAGACGCTCAATGAAGCCGGGGATGTTCAGCAGGGTAACTAGAGGAGGAATAAGGTTGATATTTGATTAGAATGAGAATACTTGAATTATCTAAGGGCAACATTGTGACCGTCAAAAATCGAATAATAAAAATGCTTATATAAACATGAGTTAAAATAACAATCTACAATAACATAAAAATAGAATAATTATATTTGTATAAACATAACAACTTAAAATAAAAAATGTCCAGTAAAAGATCAAATGAAACAAATCTATGAATAGATTAAAAATGATAATAATGATTAAAAATATTAGAAATAAATATCTAACCTGAATAAATACAGTATATGTATAATAGTATAAGTTAAAGTAAAAATGTCCAGTATAAAAATATTATAAAATATGTATGTAAACATTAAAAGTGAGCACATTGTACTACAATATACAGTTTAGCATGTTCATTGCAATATCTATAGTGGTGTATTGGTTTTAAACATTGAAGAGATTAAAAGGGTTTGGCTGCTGATGGTTTAATCCCTCCTGGAGTTTATTTTCTCAGAGTGCCTGAGGGTTATTAAGTTATTATGGCCAAAGGCAGCAAAGACTTCCTGTGGGGCATCTTAGTGGAATGAGTCCATTATTGATCCACTCTTTTACAATGGACCAAAATAAACATCAGCGTGGACTCAGAACCCTGAACGCAACCCACCCTGGTTGACCTCGGCCCGCGAGGGGCTGGCGATGCGTTTCTGCTGGGCATTTTTGGCCAACAGGGTGTGCTTGTCGTCGTTTCCCACATCAGGTTCTGAGATGGTGACGGACAGGATGCGGCAGAAGTTGGCGAGCTGCTGTTGGTCGAAGCTTTGGACCAGGCCGGACAGGTTGGGGATGCCCTCTAAATGGATCATCTCCTGGAAAACACACATTTAAAATCTGTTAGTAAACTGAAAGCAGACAGAAATCGGACATTTATAATTGTACAAGTTGTGGGACTGAACCTGACGGACTCTGTTTCTTCAATTATGAATAGATCATATATTGGATACAAGTTAAGGATATTTACAGAGTTAAAATATTCATACCTAACTTTCAATTGTAATTTTAAGACTAGAAATACACAAACAATTAGCTTAATAGTGAGAAGAGTCAAGTTTATCCTTATGTTTCTCAATTCGTCACACTCAACGTAGTTTAAATATTGGCCATGAGGGTTGTGCACTACAGTAGGTCGCCATTGTCAGTAGGTTTGTCTGTGTATCTGCAAACTGTCTATATGTACATAGCCATCTGTTATTATAAAAATGTAGTGTGTATGATTTTTGTATCTTTGTGGAACAGCAGGACAGAGACAGAAGAAATGTCCTTGCGGGGACAATAAAGTATATCGTTTGGTATCGTGTTTCAAATTCATTTTTATATGCTGAATACCCTGTGAGGTTTTGCCCACTGTTGTTACCTAAAAAGTATAAAGTATTATATTTGCTTTTGAAGAGGTTACATCACAGATGTCCCCGTTTTAAATTATTTCAACAAGTCAACTACAAAAGATCAAGAGAATACATTGTTGTTAAACTGCTCCTTGCTGTCTTTACATCACAATAAGAGAACCAGAAATATGAAGGGAGGAAAAACAAAGCAACCACATTTTTGCAATCGATATGCAGCTCAGACTTGTAGATTATTAAAATGCACAAGCTACAACAACAGTGTCTACAAACTCTCCACAAGCAGCTTGAGGGAGTAGCACTTTGTAAAACATTTAAAGATTTAGTAATGCACATAATGTATAAAGAAAGCAGAAACACAGACTATGGAGTTCAATGTTTTTAAAGTAAGCTGAACAATTAAAAAACGTCCACGATACAGAGCTAAACAAAGCTAATGATATGTATTTTAAAATGTTCAAGAATCTCAAGAGAAGTTCAAGCTGAAAACAGCATGCTTCTAATATTAGAGCATAGGTGTGGTGTTTGGGTGTTTGCAGCTCTGCAAGGCACAACCATTCTGGCATGAGCGGTGTTTGAACATGGACAGCAGAGAGTTTTATAGACATAACAAGACGCATGTATCATGTGAGCAAAGATTTTTTTTAAATCGTAAAACTCAACGTCTGTTGCTGGTTTGACAAATGAGTCACGGCTGCATAAATCACAAAGTAACCTTTTCATTTCCGAGGTGCCATAAATAAATACAAGTTTAACTCTGACCTTTTTGACTCCGAGAATATCTTCAATTAGAGTAGCGGTCTGTAGGAAGGTCTTCTTGTTTGTCATCAGGGTGAAGAGAAACAGAACAAAGTCATCCCTCGCTGCCAGGCTCTTTGTGACCCCCTCCGTCTGTGAATTGATACAAATAAAATGAGCACTTCAGTTTAAATCATGCACATTCCTGACTGTAATGTTGTTTTTAGAACGGCACGAACGCACTGCAAAACAGCAACTTCTAGTCACACACACACACACACACACACACACACACACACACACACACACACACACACACACACACACACACACACACACACACACACACACACACACACACACACACACACACAGTTTGATGCACCTCTGACATTTCTCTGACATTTACCAAATGTAACAGGATACTTACACATATACAACAGTTGTAGAGAACACTAAGGCAGTCCTTGACCAAGTCATCATTCACTGTGGGAACAGAAACACACACGTTGTAGTCAAATTGAGAACTTATGAATTTTAAATCTATTATATTCAGTTAAAAATTCCCAATAAAAGCAGATATATTCACAAATGTGAAGTCACAACTTACTATTGGGTTTTTTCTTCTGCATAGTTAATGTGGGTCTCATCAAGATCTCCACAAGCAGCTTCAGGGAAATAGAGAAATTGGTATTCAGTGCTGTGAGCAAATACTAGTAAGTGCTGTGCTACACATGACGCCAGATTCTCCAGCAGGAAGCCTCTGTACGTCCAATAATTACAGAGAGTCAAGCACCAGGAATGTCCAACTTACATCGACTCCACCGAAGAGGTCAAAGGTGTACGTGTTGGGGAAGGTGGATTCCTGAGCGGTCTTCCTGTCCTCCGTAACGAAAGACATGGCCTCCATGGAGAGCTGGGATGATAATACCTGACAAAAACACATTGACTACATGTAAAGAAAAGTCCCAAAGTAAAAACACTCACACAAATGGCAGGAATGAGTAATTCCACGACTAGTACTACAAGTGTTGTGAGGGCACCTTGAGAAAGCTGTGGGCCTGGGAGAGGTCACTGTTGGGATGGCTGCTCTCGTGGAGCCTCTGCAGCAGCGCGGGGATGCCATGCCACTTGGCTCGTTTATCTCTCTCCTGGAGCAGGCCTCCTGGTAGCTAGGACACGCAAACAGAGGTAACCTTAAAACCTTAAACAAGTGCAATAGACACAGTGAAAAATGTATGGGTGTTTGCATTTGCATTCAGACAAGTGAATACCAGTCTGGAATCCTGAGAACATTTGATATGTTTGGTCAGATGTTTGTGTGAGTTTGTCGCCCTGATTGCTATCTGGCCTGCACAATGTTCTCTAGCCGCTCCATTTAGTGGCTTTATGACTGATTCAAGTGTTGAATTGGCAGCGGAGAACTTTGGGGAGACAAATCACTATGATTGGCTGTTCAGTTAAGCGAATCAGTGTGCGAGAAAAGAAACGCACACGAGGTAAACAAACAAACAACTAAAATCATGAGGCAAATAAAGAGCCTCTTCTCATTGCTCATCTTCATCTCATCGGATCATCCCATTACACGGATATTTTCCCATCAACATCGCAGCCTTGAATGAAGCTAAGTGGTGAGGGTGAGTGGTGTGAAAGGCGCCAACAAACACTGCTAGAGTCTAATAATATTATGTATTATGAAACCTAACAAATTCAAGATACTCAGATAATATGTAACCCTGGAAAACATGTGTGCAACTTTTAACAGACAAAAGGTCTCAGATAGTAGGAAGGCTGTGAGTCACTTTAAATAAGATTACTTAAGGAAATCCTTAGTTCATGTAGCACAATACTGCAACAAGGAGAACAGAAACTAAAAGTAGCTTCAGCTGATTTGTATTATTATCACTGGCTGTAAAATCTAAAACTTGTTGACAAGAGAATTGTAACTTTGCTCAAAGTCAACAGGTGTAAAAGTCATGTGGAGAAAAGCCATAAAGGAACAGCTGAATCTTGAAGTTAAAGCCAGCAATAAATAATGTGGCTTTTTTCATTTTAAAGGATTCAGGAGAAGAGAAGACGTCTTCTATACTTGACTAATCTATTTATTAAACCACCAAGTAATGAATGTATGCTTTTCTGAATGGTGTCAGTTGCCATCATCCCTGTTGAAGCCATTAAAATCAAAAAGGTGTGACAGCATCGTGACTTTTTAAGATATGCCTGAATGACATGAAACAACTTGACCTTGCATTGCTCTGAGTGGAATGGGAATGTTCAAAATGTTGTGCACAGATTCCTGATGGTTATAAAGGGAGACCATTTGTAGAGTTTCCACTTCCTCAATAGAGCGTATTAGTTTGATCCCAGCAATGCTCCAATTGACAACACCCACACTCTAGTTGCTTAACTACCTTTAAGAGACAGTATGGCCCAAACAAGAAACTCACAAATGTCAGACTTATCTTTTCTCATTCAAGCTTTTTAATAATCATATGCTAAAACACAAGGCAAAAGCGGCAATCCGTTCCAAAAACAGACAAAAGAAATACTACCTTTCCTTTATAAAAATAAGACAACACTGAGAATCATGCAGCCCAATGAGCAGCATTACGAACGTTTCAAAAATCAGGGGTATTTTAGGATTTTCGGGGCTTTAGGATCATACCAAAATGTCACCTCACCACCGAGGTAATACCTTGAAAACACCAAGTCAGCAATGAGAGTAAACGCCACGAGACTGACTGCAAAGGGATACATGGTTTTATGAGCTTTGTAAAACAAGGGTGTACGAAGCAAGTTGAAATAAAGATGAAGTGTCTGAATGGGTCAAAATGTCACGTCAGATGCGACATCCATCATCTGCATAAGTGCTTTGAGCGCCAGGAAAAGCGCTATAGAAATAACATGTATCATTATTTATTATTATAATGCCCTGTCAACATCACAGTTTATGTCAACTAACGTCACTGTTCAGGGGTGTTTAGTAACCAAGTGCATTTACTTACATTTGAAGTATTTCCATTTTATGTTACTTTGTTCTTCTACTCCACTTCGATTCAGATGGAAATATAGTACTTTACTCCACTACATTTATTGAATACCTTTCGTTACTTTGCAATTCATATTAATGACAAACAATATAATCAACACTTAAATAAGATTTTAGTTGCACCTAGAATAAATTGACATGCTACCCAGCAGAACATTAAGTAATTAAAAGCTCCACCTTTACCAGCACTTGATAAACACATCAATAATTTAAATGAAAACATATAATATATATTAATCTGAAATGTGCCATACCGTATAATGAGTACTTTTACTTTTGGTACTTTAAGTGTATTTATATGCCAATACTTTTGTACTTTTAATTGAGTAACATTTTGAATGCAGGACTTTTATTGTAACAGAGTATTCCTACACTCTGGTACTTCTACTTTTCAAGATCTTGTACTTCTCCCACCTCTGTCAGTGTTAGATAAAAACCAACCGAACAAATATATGCTCCAAAGTAACACATATCGGTTAAATGGTGCTGTATTTCCATGCAGGAAATACAAATAAACCTGCCAAGTGTAAGTAGTGCAGACAGCTGCCTCTCCATGTAAGGGAACGGTAGTTATTGTGGTTTGCGTCGTTACGTCATCACCTGAGCTGTTCAGCTGGCTTAGCTAGCTAACGTTAGCTGATGTTGGCTAGCATTAGCAAACGTTACTGCGGTTTACTACATGATTTAAGCGATTATGAAATGTAACAATGGGCTATCTGGTATCACTGATTCTCTTACTACCTCATAAAAACCATAACAGTATGTCAACATACCAGATCAGAGCGTTATGTAGCGTACTTACGGGCATATCATGCTAAGCTAATTCACTGCTAACAACAAAAGACCAACTTGAAGCGGAGCTTGCTTCACACACTTTGTTCGAATGCAAACGTTATTTGCCTCGTCAGCGAGCAAATATCATTATCCAATACTCAATAATGTCAAAGTTTAGTGTTTGCATTTTTAAAACACCCTATTAATGTTGTAGCTAGCTGTAAAGCCGAAGCTGACACGAGCGACTAGAGCTCCATCAAGTCTCCCCGACAGCGTCTTCATGTTCGGGCTACATTCCAGCCGCAAGCCCCTGGTCTCAGTGGACCAGCGTTCATGTGCCTTTACTGTCGAAACATGCAGTGTTTCTCTTACCTGCGTCCCTCGACTGAACCCCTGGCCGGTGATTTTACTAGCCGTGAACTTAGTGACGATATTGCCAGTGCAATGTCTTCGTTTTCCTCCAGTACAGGGGGACTCGGACCCCATAAGCGTCGCCATTATTTCTTCTTCCTGAACTGAGCTGCTCGGCAGGAAGTGGAAGGCTTTGATGAATTACTGGAGGTAATGAAGCGGCATCTACTGGCGGAGTTGCACACTGTGCGAGAAGTGGCTTCAGTGGTGTATGCTCTGTCTATACTCTATTGTGGTATTAATGGTTTTGGTTTTAATGGTTTTGCACGATCTAATATTACACAAACAGATAACAAATGACAAGCAGTGACGGGCGAGGCAAACAACCCATTAGGCTTATTTAAAGCCTCTACCTAAATAATGTAAAAAAACACAATGTTCTATAAAACACAAGATCAATATACAAACAATTGCTTGAATTCCACATATACTATACTTAACATTTTAACAAAATAACACTCAAACCAGGCATATTTTGGGGTGATTTTCGTTTAGTTTTGAACTGGACAGACCTTCATCCGTTTCAGGGGAACAAAGATCTGGAATGACCTTCAAATCCAACACAATCTGTACCTTGCTGTATTGCCAAGCAAATCAGGCCAGTGTTTATTATTATTTTCAAATGTTCCAAAATATTTTTATTGGATTCCAATAACACAACCATGACAACAATCATATACAGTAAAACAACAATAATATTTACATTTTTCATATGGCATTTAAACAGCATGCTCATATGTGGTTATAAATAAGGACATAGACAGTGGCAAGAAAAGTAGGCTAAAACCTTTGGAATAACCTTAATTTATGTATATTTGTTCTAAAATATGGTCCGATCTTCACCTCAGTTGCAATATTCAACAATTATTGTTTGGTTCTTGTCCATATTGAATACATAATTCAGACAGCAGTGTAGATTGGAAAAAAGTGTGTGAACCCCTAGACTTCAACAAGAGCTAATAGGAGATAACAATGTCACAGCATGTTCATATGTAGTTATAAATCAGGACACACATTCCATTTTTTAAACCAAATGAGATCACTGACCATGAGCTCACTCCTCCACTCTTTAAAACAAACACATTTTTCTTGCTGACAGACACTTTCTCACCATAGACTGTATAAATAAAGCTCTAAACATTGTAGTGTCTCAGCCCTCATGCCCCTCCATGACCTCTCTCTATGGCTAGCCCAAACGGCAGCTGAGCCATGACAGTGTGTGGCTTCACTTTATCTGTGAGACTTGTTCCAGGCTGATCCTCTGTCTCTCCTCATGTGTCCCAGCTGTGATCATTGCCCTCTGTAATCTGTAGGTACGAGGTGATGGCCTCCCTCAGCCCCTCGCTCACCAGAGAGTTGTCTGACTCTGTCCTCTTCCTCCTGAAGATCGCTGACCTGGAGGACACAAGACAGGATGTTCAAAAGGGCTCATTGCAAATGTGCAATGCGACTATGACCCTGACATGGAGAATGCTTCTAACTGGTGCGTAAATTAACAGTAATTGTTATGGGCTGCATTTTGTAGCTTTTATTTATCTGACGTACAGGTTAAAGAAACATCAGTGCAGGAACATTCTGCTCTATGCTATTACACACTGTCAACTCGTCTGTCAGATATCTTGTTAACCACAGTGTTATCTGTTGGATTGTCTGTTAGTGTTTGCATAAACTTCTCCTGAGTTATGGACCTGGTATAGGGGGACACAACGTCAGAGAAAGAAGATTGATTTCCAGCCCAAAAGCAGAGAACAGAGTCTAACTTGTGGTAAGGGTATTAGTTTTCTACATCTTGACTTTATTCTCTAAATTGTTTTTTATTTTATCTGCATATATTTTTTACTTCATCCTCAAAATGGTATTTAAACCTATTCATGACCATTTTGACTTCATTTTTTACATATCTTCTTCACTACTTTTCATTTCTTAACCTCTTTTTGCCCCTCTATGCCTTGCCCTCTCTAACTGTCCCTAATTACGGCTTATTTTACTCAGCACTGAAACACAAACGTCAGTACAGTTGAATCAGTGTCTGAAAATAATAAGCTTCACATCAGGTTTTTTAACCACCAGGTGCTCATGCTCTACGGAAATAGAGTGACATCTTGTGGCAGTCATCAGTAGGAGCTAAAGAGAGTCTGCCTCACCTGCTGATGTCCTTCCAGTTGATAGTCGGCCTCCTGATGGTTATGGGTACAGGCCTGTCCTCTGTGGGGTTGTCTAAACCCTGGATGTGGCACGGCCCCGTCAGCCGGACACACAGCCCTCCTGCTGATTCTGTGATGGAGAAAAAACATTTTAGTATCTTACTTTTAAAGAAGTCTCTGGTGAATTCAGGAATGAGCATTATATCCTGAGTGCAGACCTGAGTAGTGTTCCACCAGGTGATGCAGGGAGGGGAAGGTGAGCCCTGGAGAGATGTAGACCCAGCCGTTTTCGAGCTGAGGGATTCGGTAGTGCTTTACACTGTCAAGGTACGAAGAGCTGCTCCTACTCAGCACAGACAGCGAGTAACAATCTAAACAAAGAGACAGCACACAGAGGAAGCAGTTCAACTACACGGCTCTTGATTCTTCATTTAGAAATGTATACAAGTACAGATTTGTTTCCACTAGCCTTCCAAAATCATTAGTCAAGTTGTTTCTAAGGGCACTTAAAGGAATACTTTACCCCCAAAATGATTATATGTGTATCAATTCCTCACCCCGTGTTAACCTTACATTCATAAAGAAAACGTTATGGCAGGCCTTCATGATGAACAAAGAGTCCAAAAACGTAGAAAATCCTCAAATAAATGTATGATATAAATATACAATGTAGTGTATATTTATATCATATAATTCAAATTGAAGCTAACACAGGGAAGTAATTTATACACACATGATCATTTTGGGATTACTTTTTCCTTTAAGCCTTCAACATTGTTGTGCCTTGGTTGAATATGTTTCTAAAGCAGTGGAAGAAACAGAAGCAGCGCTCTGACCTCTGTTTGACTCTGACTCTCGGATCATGAAGGCTCCACTCTGGTTCTGAGGCCGCATCAGCAGCTCCACCGCCTTGTACCTGCTGATGTCTTTGAACAGCCACCTGCACAGAGAAGAGAGACACAGTGAGTCAATGAGAACAAAATAGGTTGTTTTTCAAGTTAGGGAAAACCCACTGAAACAGAAACAGCATATTCCCCACTGGAGGAGGGCTGCAGGCAGGGGCTGATGTCAGAAAACATGAGGCTTGTTCCAACCTTCTTTCTCCCACGACACCTCCCACCTGCCGGGGGACTACCCATCTCTCATCTCACTTCTCCTCTTCTGCAACCAGTGGAGTGGCAAGTACATTTACTCAAGTACTGTACTTAAAGGTGGGGTATGTAATTTCGGAGAAACCTGCTCGAGTGCACTAGAATTTGAAAGTAAACGACCGGAAAAAATCTGCCACTTCCTTCAGACTTCCTTACAGAGCCCCTCCTCCTACACACGAACGCGTACATGACCAATGAGGGCACGAGATAAGTTTGTGCACAGATGGAAGGCTGACAGGCAGGTAGGCCATCCAGTTACTTTAGCTCAGATGATTTGTCGTACTTTTTACAGCGCCACGGCTTCCACAGATGACATTTTTTTATCTATTTATTGTCAAAGCATTTAATATATTCATTGCTATCGGGATGTTAAGAGCATTCCATGGAATATAACAAAAAGTGGTTCTGAAATAAATTACATACCCCACCTTTAAGTTCAACTTTTAGGGACTTCACATGAGTATAAAAAATGTCCTTTCAAATTTGTAGGCTACTTCCACCCCACTACAAATCAGAGGTAAATGGTGTACTTTTACTCTACTACGTTTATTTAACACGTTTAGTTATTTTCCACATTCGGAATAATAATGTGAAAAATAATCAACCCTTAAATCAGACTTTAGTTCCAATTGGAGTAAATTCACAAGCTACCCTGCAGTGTACAACGTGATTAAAACTAGCTACACCTTTACCAGCTTTGATAACACTTCGATCAATGATTATAATCAAAACATATATTTCATCCAAGCCAATCTGCAAAAAGAGTACTTTTGGTGCTTAACCTTTATTTGGATGCCGATACCTTTGTACTTTTACTTGAGTAACATTTTGAATGCAGGATGTTTTACTTGTAACAGAGTATTTTCTACACTCTACTAAAGTACAAGATCTGAGTATTTCTTCCACCTCTGGCTGCTGCCACACACGTGCACACACACACACACACACACACACACACACACACACACACACACACACACACACACACACACCCACACACACTCGGAGAGACACACACATACACACACGGACACACACACACACACACACACACACACACACACACACGCAATCCCGACAGTGACCCACTTGTGTGTCACATTGGCGGTGTAGGTGGTGGGGATGTAGCTCTCAAGGCCCGTGGTGGTGGATCTGACCATCAGAAAATCACCGTCACTGTTGGAGAGAACAGGCAGTCATGAGTAGCTGTACAGGTGAGAATAAAAGGTGAAAGTGATTATAAAAGCTTCACTTACTCTGACTGGACGGTTACTTGTTCTCCGATGCACATTGTTAATTCTGTACTCTCAAAGGACGGGTAGTTACAGAGGGAGACAATCACACTGTCCTGCGGCCCTACAGAGAGAAGAAGGAGAGGCATGTTGTTACGCTTTTCTTAGTTTGATTTTCTGTGGGGATGACTGGTGCAGTGTTGAAAGAAGTACTCCTCTACTTAAGTTAAAGTACAAATGCTATAGTATGGTCTTTGAATACTCCAATGATTATAAAAGTGCTGGTATCAAAATGTAGTTAGAGCACAACAAAAATGTAATCGTTCTGCACAATGTCCAATTTCAGGATAATGTAAAATATAGAAGAATGATCAGCTAAACGTGCTTCAAGAATCCAAAGTAAGAGGACTATTTTTGCAGAATGGATCTTTTCACAGTATTATATCATAATGGTTGTTATATTCTCCTGTTTCTATATGTGTAAGAGTATTTTGGTATTGTACTTGGTCAATGTGGACCAAATGTAGGTACTTGAAATACTTTGTAGATTATTAGAACAGTACTGCATACCATATCAGTATATCATGTGTACAATGTATCTGTGATTTTTCAAATAAATGTAGTGGAGTAACTATACAAATGATACTAGCCTCTATGTTGTGGAGTAGATGTGCAAAGTTGGAAATAATCAAGTAAACTACAAATATTAAAAAAAAGTACTTGAGTACATAACATTTTGTAAATAGTTACTTTCCACCACTGCTTTGGGGATATACATACGTGGTGATTCAGGCTCAGGAGAATTTTCCAGGATTGTGAGGTTGGATCGACATCTGATGGGGCAGGTCCCCATGTTCTGTCTTATGATGATCAGAAAAGGAACTTATTTCTGAAAAACAGAAGCACAGGATGAGGAAAATGTCTTCAAAGGTCTTTAAAAACCGAAACACTGAATTTGTTCTCTAGTGATCACACCGTGAATGAAAGTGCACAGTGTTACCAGGCAGTGAGAAGATACAGGAAGCCGCCTCACCGCAACTGTGCTCAGTTTCCATGCAACTACTTTGCAAGGAATAAAATCTACCTAACATGAAATGTATTCAAAAAGATGAATAGAGGTGATTTTATACTTATTATGCAAACTGTTTTTCAATTTGAACAGGGACCTTTGAATAAAATATCTAAAATATAATTTAAATATATTGGGCTTTTTAACATTTGACTTAGCCCAAAAATAAAAACAATCTCCCCTTCCCAGATAATAACCAGAGCGAAACATAGCGTTGTGATTTTACTTCAAACCAACACAGGACTGAATTAAACAGGAAAAAAAGTGTAAAATAAGAATAAATCAACAGTTAAAAGCCAAATTAAAGGAGAATGAATGAATGATACTGACTAAAATAAGAAATACTCTTTATCTTAGTTTGTATTTATTTCATATAATTCACATCATCGGGCAATACGTTAACTCATATTGTGAAGTAATAAGTTAAGTCATTTAACTGCAAATATACAATACAAGTTATCAGACAAAAGGTATTTTTACAGTAACAGTTATTTAAGGAAAACAATAAAAACTACTTTCATGCAATATACATCAATATATATCAGAGCAAGTACTCACCTTTCTTTCTGTATTTCAAAAATGTGTCCACAAATTATTTCCCCACACAAGCAGTGAGTCCGACCCCTCTCAGATCAAAGTCCTCAATGATAAATGCTGGTCTCTCTGCAGCACACACACAGAGGGCAGACTGTGAAATGCGTCCTCCCAGGCCTGCAGATCAATCACAGAGACTGTGCTCCCTCCTCTGAACACGGCTGTGTTTTTGCAGCTGTTGATAGAGAAGGCTGAGTGAAGAGGCTTCCTGGCGGCCTTTATGTATGTCACCCTGCTGCAGCTTCCTGTGACGCTCAAGACCTTCACATCCGGACTCAGAGCAGCTTGTGTTGATCTCTCAGATGCAGAGTATTTTCACTGACACTGCATCACTTGTTTATGGAATGAACTACGTGAGCAGCGTTCACCTACATGACCCATGTGATGCAGACAGTTTGTGTGTATGGTGTCAGTTTATCTGCTTTTAGCTGAGAAACACTGAGGCACATTTTCCCTGTCAGTCCCATCACGTCCAGTTACTGGTGGTCCTGTTGAACATCAGATCAGAGGAGCAGCTCTGCAGAAGCATGACGAAGGTTCCCCTGACAACCCACTGCGGCTCCTATTCATCATCAGTCATAAAGGGTATCCATCATGCTGACTCTGCAGAGTCAAATGGTAAAAGTGGAGCAATTTGACTGGCAATATTAATGCGTTTTGTGCTCGTAAATCATGAAGGTGCAGTGGTGGAATCTAAGTATGTACATATACTCAAATAGCCTACTGTTGGCTCCTTAAATACATGTTTCCGTTGTCCTTTTCATGAAATGTTGCTCTTCTTCACTGTCAGAGAAACATATTGTACTTTTTACTCTACTTAACTTATCTCACTGCTATTGGTTATTGTACATATTAGATTTGACATAGAAAACGCATTGAGTGCCTTTTACAGTATATTTAACTTGAGTTAAGTAACCCTGTTGGTTAATTGGTCAGTAAATGAGTGCATGTTTTCACAATGGCTATTTTTACCAATTGTTTGACGCAAACCATTGAACATCGGCCTCTCAAATGTGAAAATGAGCATCATTCCTCGTCTTAAAATAGAAAAAACTGTTAACAAAACAGGATATTTGAAGATGTCAGTGTGTTTGTAAGTTACTTTTTTCTTTATTATACCTTCACAAGAAAACAACCAGTAGATTGTCCATTATGAAATATTAATTATTTGCAGCCCTATATAACATTAGCTCTTGCTTAAACATGAATAAGTGATAACATATGATGGTAAACGAAACTATATTGTTTGTGTAACAGGGGAAATGTTTCTGCTTCGAGTCCTTTCAATTTTGATATTTTAGGTACATTTATTCCTAATGATACGTACATATTCTCAGATAAGGTCCTTTTTCAATGCAGGATTTAACTTTTGTACAGTGTGGTAGTAGTAGTTTCAAGTAACAGGTCTGAATACTTCCAATATGTGGTTGTTCAAATGGATTTATAATAGTATAATGAATTCTGTGTGAATTTAGCACCCTTATGCATGCATGTGAGCTCATCAGAGATGGTAGATATGATTCTCTGGTTTCAGTTTCTGCTGAGAGGTGATCATTCTCAGATACTTCTTGTCCTACTTCTTATCAGATGTTCTAATGTGGATGGAAAATGCCCAATAATCTTCAACAGAGTCATCACGTACAGCTTATGTTGTAACAACTGCATGTTAGCTCGATTGGAAAGTACATTTGAATCAAAAATCAAATCGTTCCATTCCGGTGCGGTATATGTTTCTCTAATCGGTTTCTGCACTGCGTGTCACATTTGTAGATGTGTTATCTAACTCCAAACTGATTTTTTAAATTATTTTATTCATTAAATGCCCCTTTTAGTATGTATCATAAGTATTTCAATAAGGTATTATATAAAATGGTTTAGGTTTCAGTGTTACAAAAAGTATTTACAGTAGGGTTGTTGCATGAAATCACATTATATATAGGAGAGAGGTTCATTTCCTTTACCGGCAATTGAGGAACATTCTAGTTGTAAAAGCGAGAAGCTACAATAGGCCTACTAAGAAAAGCATTATCCATCACATTAACCTTTAGCCCTTTAGTCTCATAACAGTATACATTTTTAGTTTGAAGGCAATCTCATCATCTCATTTGCAGAGCAGTGGACCATTGTTGATTTTGACGTGTGCTAAATATAACTTAGGCTGTCACTCTGCGAGGAAACAAGAGCGAGTGCGGTTGGAAAGTATCTCACCACAGTCACCTTTCCACTAAGAGGAGAGGAAAAGTACATGAGTATTCACACAACACTTTTTCGCTCACATATATAATTGTTATGTTCGTGCATTTTTTGAATTATTGGCCCTGTTGTCAGTGGTGGAAAGTAACATTTACAACTTTTACTACATTTTGGATGCATTCTATTACTTCACTAAATTTGTTTAACGTATTTCATTACTAGCTACATTGCAGGTATTGAGATATAATACAGATTATAAAACCGACAAGTCAAATCAAGCAATCTGATTGGTTTTTAGCCGTGATATAATGAGCGTATATCACGGGTAGAATTGTAGTTACTTTTCACAACAAGTCAGTATCCCTCCGCGTCGGAGAAAAAGCTACAACCGTTACAACTGTTACATTACGTCCGTTACGAAACTAAATAACTAACAAAGATGGAAACATGTACGGGATAATGTGCAGCAAGGACTTATTGACCGTTGTTAAGGACGCTCACATCTGCAGAAAGAAGTCCGGTCGATTTAACTGCATACAGTTGGGCTGAACAGTAAACTGCATGCAAGGGCCGAACCACGCCCCTTATCTGTGATATAATGACCATATACCACGGCCTGTCGTGAGCTATTGCTTAAATATGAATCAACCAATACATCATTATGTATTATTATAGGTTAAGCTACTCTGCAGTATATCCAGTTATTTAAATAATCCCCACCTTTACCAAGTGCCACATTGACATTAATGCATCAATAATAATCATAACACGAGCCATACGGGAACATTAGTAGTTTTACTTTTTGTACTTGAAGTATATTTTGGTACTAATAGTTTTACTTAACTACTATGTAAAAGATCAGAGTCTCTTCCCCCCCCCTGCATGTGTTGATAAATGAAGACACCAGCCGAGCTGTCATGTTGAAGCTTTATTCAGTAGTAATATAAATGAGTTGAATCAGCAGACAGTGAGAAGCACCACTGGCCCCTCAGAGAATGACTCAATACTTTTCACATCATGACCCACTTGTTAAAATCACTGAACAAAAAAAAATTAACACAGAAAGAAAAAAGGGAGATGAGCTTCGTGACAAAAAGAATACAAAATAGGTGGAGTGATGCTGAAACACTGGTACACTACAGGCATGTTTTTAAAAGCAGCTCACTCCACAAGCTTGAGTTTAGATAAGATGAAAGTGCGCTACAGTCTGCAATGCTCCTTCACTTGATTTCTGCAGCTACAGCAGGTCGAGTGATCCCTCTGTGCACTTTGTGACTAGTTCACATTGCAGAACGTTTGGGATTAAAACACAAAGACAGAGTGGCTCAGAATCAATGAGTTTAGAGATCACAACAGGAGAGAGCCGGGTGTAGAACTGCATCATTTAAAAAAACCTTACTTTGAACACGTGGAGGACGTCTACAGTATGTGTGAAGACATTTAAAACAAAGACAACGTGAAAATAAATAAATACAAGGGGTTGAGTGAATGATATGGTCTGACCATTGGAATATACAACACGTTTGATTGTAGTCATGGTATCAGGTACAGGAATGTGACTTTGACAGTGTATTAAATTTGATATATTTAATAATATGCATCTGTTAATATATTTATTACATCCTTTTCTAATCACATTACAGATCCTGCTGGCGTTTGAGTTGCAGGGTGAGAGAAAGATAGATAGAGGGGGAGAGAGAAAGAGAGGGGCACATAAGTTACTATGGGAATGTGCAGGGGGAGGGAGGGAGGGAGGGTGGGGGGGTTTGGGTTTAGCAGGAGACCTCCATGGTCTGGGGTCCGACCTGGTTGTCCAGACCCCCGGTGGCGCTGCCCTCCAGCAGGCTGTTGAGGTTGTTGCGGCTGCGACTGCTGTCCATGGAGGTGATGGAGGAGGAGGAGGCGGTGCGGGAGCGAGCCAGCCGAGTCATTCCTGCTGTCGCCACTGAAGAGAAGAACACATTGATATTCAGCTCACAGCGCGCCGGAGACAGTGTGGGAGCGAGGGCTGCACAGTTTGGGAGGAAGGACTGGGTGCGATTGTTTTCGAAAGATATTGCAATATATTGTTTGCTCTTTTAAAATAACAACATATTCTTCTAGTCTTTGTATGCACCATTTACAACAAAGCAAATTCCTCCTATGTGTAAATCTACTTGGTAATAAAACCTATTTTGATTGTGATATAATTTGCGATATTAGAGGTAATTACATTTTCTTTTTAAACATTATTCAAATGATCATTAGTAAATGCTTAAATGGTCAAGGTGTTTTTTCTTTTACAGGGTGCGTACCCAACGTGGATCTTTTATATAATACTATTTGTAGGCTGGGATTACTCCACAGCACCACAATACTTAACATAAACAATATTTTTTTACATTTACCAAATATTGCGCTTACTGTAATTTGGATATTGCACCAGTCCATATGTTGTGCAGCCCTAGCATGAACACTTAAAGATACACAGATGCAGCAACAACAAAAGTGTATAACATGCAAACCAATCTCAAATATGACGACTAAGTCAAAACAAAAGTAAGATAAAATAATTGCATGTGTGTCCACTGTTGACAAATAAAAATATGAAAGCAACACAACAGCAGAACACAGCATTGGCAATCCAACTGAAGTGAGGGAGGAAGCAGCAGGTCATGCAACAGAGATAGGACACCTGGGATCCATGCTGAAAGGGCAAAGTGAACTCCTACAGGGAGATGAATGTGTGTCAAAGTGTGCAAAGAGATGTCTCCCTGTGTGTGATAGCGACTGTATCCTCCACACTGAGCGGCTGTCGAGTTCCAATCTGAAACAGCGCTCTCCGGAGAATTTCTGCATACACTGACATTCATCCACCCTGCAGTGTTTAAGGGCCTTTGGGGTTCAAAGCATTCTAGTCTGGCAGCTGCTCGAGAACCTGATACCTGATTCGTTGCTCAGGTGACTGAGAAGAACGTAGGGAACTGTGAGCAACCATTAAAGAAGGAAGAGAGGAAGAGAAAGGGAGACATGTTGAATTGGTGCGTTGCTTTTTCCCTCTGACTCAGACTGAGGCTCTGTCGCAGCTCGTGGTCGTTGAGGGCAAAATAAGAAATCTGTTTTCTGTCAACCGGTAAGAAATCTTAGCGTGTGCAAACTAGAAATGTTCTGTACTCTATGGCTGTTTCTCTTTTGCGTTTCACACTGTGGCAATGTGTTAATGAGGGGAAAGCAGCTTTCGCTAACATGCTGAGGTGTTGAGCTTTTTCACTTCCCACACTTTTCTCTGCGTGAAAACACCTCGTTTTAATCACTTTTAATCCTGCAGTGGCATTTCCTCGACAGGGGGACTCGGTGGCCTTTAAAGCAACACTGAGGCACCGGCATACTGCCTTCACCCCAGGGTGCCTCCCACAGTGAAGGGTTTGGGAACGGGAGAGAGCAAAAGAGAATTAGCATGACAGAAGTACACACACACACACAGACAGAAGTCATCTGTATGAGCAAGCAAACCTACATTAAACATCCATCCGTCTGGTTTGCATTTTAGAAATAAATGTTTTCTTTGCAGATGAATGACCTGAAGGCCTGTTTAAGTATGACTCTCTAGAAAGAGACGGCATCATTAAACAGTTGTGGAGGGAAAAGAAAAATCACACCAGGCAACAAAACAGAGGGTATTTTCTGAACTGAACAGGAGTGAATTGTTCTTCAGCGTATCTGGAGTGACTCTGTCATTTCAGTCATGCTTGAAGCACTCAGGCCTCACCTACTGAGGTTTGTGGGGACCACACACTGCAAAGAGCAGAGAGGAAACTGCGTTAGCATCCAACGCGCCGTTGGGCTGCCTCTCCGTGACCAGCCTGACAAAAAGCCTGTCTTTTCATACACTGCTGGCCACAGGCCAAACCCCATCAGCAGGGGTGTTTAGCCACAGCTCATACGAGCCTGGAGCCAAAACAATCCTCATTTAAGCAACTGTTGGCAAAGCAGTCACGTCAACAGGAAACTCTGCAGAGAACATTGAAAAACCTCGACCACAAACACGTCAGACCTAAAAAGGTGTTGGCCTGTAAACAATTCTTGGACGTTCGATATAGATTCGACAAGTTTCAACCGGTATCATTTTGTATTTTTGTTTTTTTAACAGCAAGTAGCAAAAGACATGTGCACTTACTGTAGCCCATTCCCTGAACAAAGTACTTGAAGGCCTCAGCAAGTTTCCCTGGCTGTGAACAGATGAAGGATCAAAGTTAGAAGATATATTAGATGAAATAAATGCTGTATGAACAAAAGAAACCTGTAAAACGAACCTGCACAACTTGGGGTAAGCCTCCACAATCAGCCATCTAGAAAAAAGATCATTTTAATGAATACATTTTCTTTTACAGCCAAAGTAATTACATCATATATGTATCTGTCAACAAATGAATAGCTTCACCTTTAGCAGTGTAGTCTTGATTGGATTTAACCTGGAATTACACTCCACCTAAAGACAGAAATGAGAAGCTGAGTTAAAGAAAGAAAAGATAACAGCAGAGCTTCTCCCTGAGATGAACAGTGTGACTCACCACAGCCTCCACAGCAGGGGCCGTGTCACCGACCACCAGCAACGCAGGGCATCTGGACGGGAAGAATATGAAACGTAAATATCTTCAAAACATGGCATTTTGAGATAAAAACATTTTATTTGTGTCTTCTTTGTCTCAAAACCTACTTTAGTGTTTTAACTGTGTCCTCGTTCAGACCCACGATTGGCCTCTCGATATCAAGGTCCTGACGGCTGGTGCAGGGAGACAAAATACGATTAGTTATTCAGATCTACTTTTCCACATCTTAGAACAATGAAATGTGATGGAGACACAATACATGTGTGAACAAATGGACAGTGTATACTAATGTATGTTATCATACTATTGGTAGGAGCCACAGAAGAGGGCCAGGTTGTCCTGGTTGATGTCTTGAGCGATGTGGAGGCGGTAGGTCTGGATCAGCTCCAGGTTGTCGGACAGCTCATCCTGCGGGAAAGGGCGGAGTAAAACCTCAATGAAATGTGTCTTTCAGACAAGCTGTTGGATTTGTATATCCAGTACGTCTAGCTCACAAAAAGATTGAGAGAGATTTTTTAGGCCGTCACTTAACCTGCACAAATACGACAAAAAAAAGTGTAATGGACCCCTGCCTGTGTTGCCAGGCAAAGAAAAGTCTTGGAGCTCCTATGGATGTATTTAAATGAGTTAAAAATTGGCACCTTTCTATGCAAATGAGCCTCAAAGCATGAATAGTCCAATTCACACAGACCAGGGCTAATGGCCATGCAGTTACAATGAAATGTTTTAGTGCCTACAGAGATATGAAGGTTCGTTTTTAGGGCATTCATGATCATAGCACTGAATGATATTTCTCGTGTCCTTTCCACACGGCGGCGTGCGTTGAAGCTTCAACGCTTCTGCCCATTCACTTTGAATGGGGTGACGTCACGCTTTGCCGAACTGCATTGTGGTTCCGTCGCTTCGCTTTGCTCGCTTCAAAAGTTGAGCAATGTTCAACTTTAGCAGCTTTGACGGAAGCGTCAGCCAATCAAATCATACGCTAGTACAAGCTCTAGCCAATCAAACCGCGTGTTTGTGTGTCCGGGGCGGGAGATTCATGTGATTGGTTGTTGGTCGAGTTTCAGACACGTCCACCGGTAAGCGTCAACTCACGCCGCCGTGTGGACGCTGCGTAACATGTAAAATAATGACTTTGTCTTTTACAATCTCAAGGAATGCTTCTGAAAACAGCACGGACAGACTGAGATATTAAATCCCAAGCAGCGCACTGTGACCTTGCCCTAAGTCTTAAATCCCTTGCCTTATGTTTTGAGGAATGCCTCTGTACCTCACGGGTCAGGACCTTTAGCTTACGGTCTGAAAATGTCCTTCCTCTCAGCTACCGTGCTGCCTGCTGTGTTCTTGGTGCAAAGGCTCCATTTATTCGCAAAACATTAGCGGCAATTTATTGCCAATCTATTCTTCTTGAATTAGCTTGGGAGTGTGTAATCCACATGTTACAATCTACCAGTGTATCTATTTGACAGGATGACAGAAATAGGATAATTAGTAAATGCTCCTCATAAGAGCGAGATGAAGCTAACTGTCTAGGGAAATCAGGAAAAGCCTCTTGAGGTTCAGTAAGTGTTTCAAATTGTCAATGAGAAAGGTCAAAGCACATGAAGAGTGAAGTAGTGAAGGAGAGACTCACGGCGCTGAAGTGGTGAGACATGATGATATCCACCAGATCACTGGTCCATCCAGACAGCTGCACAGAGAGGAGCATCCAGGTGAGAAGACGGGGACAACAGCTGGTTTATCATTTATTTATTCATGAGGTTTATAAAGAAGTGTATTCACTGATTTCATGTTGGATTTTGACATTTATAAAAGAAGACGATACACAAAGAGGCAGCATTATGTTAAAGAAATAGTAATATTGTCTCTCTGTCCCTTTCTCCATCATTACTGTTACTTTCCATAAAAAACGAAGTCGTTATTTTTTAGTAAAGGACGTCATCTCTCTATCATGTTTCTTTTTTTACATTTGGCTTGGTTGAGCAAAATAAAAACAAAAGAACAGATGAAGCGTTTTGTTTTTAAAGTATGTGGGACGAAGGTCATGTCAAGCCCACTCCTACATAACTGCGCTCAACAAAAACACGACAAAGAATGTTCTCACAGTCACACACAAACCATACTAACCACACTCACTAACTAACCCACACACACACACGTTATTGTGACCCATCTTGTTCTGCACTTAAAGCAAATGATTACACTCAAACTGAAACTGAAATAAATGAATAAGCATTAGTAGTGATGTTTGTTGTACTACACTTGAATATGTGAAATGACAATAACGTTGAATATAATCAAAAAAAGTTTGTCCAGTCAAATAAGAAGCTTACATTTGATTTGAACTTTGAGTACCCGAGCACTGCAGGTATAATCAAATGAAAACAGGATTACAGTCCCTACCTGGGTTTTTCATTACATTAATCCAACACTTGTTAATCTTACACTTTTCTCAAGTTCTTTTTAAATCTTAGTAAAGACTTTAAGTTATTTTACTCATAACAATACTGTTATTATAACAAGTATATAGTGAGTATAATCGGTGGCTCTGAGTCAGCACCCAGTATTATATCATCTTATTTAGTTCTTGCATTATATATAATAAACTATGCTAAGCATGAATGATATACAACAGTGAGCCTGAAATAGTGTGTTTAGGGTACGGCATTAATCAATAACAACCTGACAAATGGCAGGAAACTGAAATGGCTGCTCAATTATTCAAGTGTGCTCAGTATAAATAGCTTGATGTTGCAGAGAGCACTGAGGATGCTGCAGCGGTGATACTGACCTTTGAAGCGGCCCAGTCGATCCAGCCCTCGGCACAGGGGTCCACATTGATCAGAACCAGACCCTCCACCAGGCTGGGGTGGTTCAGCTGGGGGGGAAGGATGCATGTCAGGTCCAACTTGTTAAACATTTAGATAAATAAGATATTCCTACATGGGCGTATTCTTGCATTATGCGTCCTGTGGTGCGACTACAGCTTTCACGCTTGTATCAGGGTATATGCAGGAATCCTGAACTCAAATGGAAAACCTTTTAAGACCTTTTTTAAAGACCCTTTCCTACATTTTAAGACCTCATCGCCACTTTAGAGTTTTAACCGGTTACCTTGGGGAAACACTTTACCTCACATTGACTATATACAGTATTGATTGTCCTTCCTCTTTATCTTCCAACCATTTGGACGCAGACTTGCATTTCCCCATAACGATGTTGTTTAACAACCGGCGTCAACGGACCTTCACGGGCTATCAAGCAGTGAGCGTGCGATGTCCTGTTCAGATGATGTCAAATCCAACAGGATGCCATAAATAAACTCCACAGAATCACACTACACACCTACGCAATGATTACATTCAGGCAGACTGTAGAATACAACCTCTTTGGACAATTTATATACTTATTGAAAAAAAGCTACAAAATGTAATACCTTGGAAAATGCAGTTTAATACTTTTTAATAGCCTTCATTTTCGCTAAATTGATTTATCAACTTTTAATACTTTTTAAGACCCCGCGGACCCCCCGTGTATAAACTTACAGTGTAGTTTTGTCAGTGAACTAAAATCATTTTGCCTACCCGATGCTTCATCTTCAAAATGAAAACGTTGTAATCTTATTCCCCAGGGTTTTATGAATAATTTGAACAGTGCCCACACAGATTAAATCCACTGCAGTGTTCTCCTATATGACATAAAGTGAAGAATGTCTGTTCGTTCCAATTAAGAGACATAAAACAATGCGATGGAAAACTGGGCTTCTAAATTAAGGGGTGCGGTTTTGGAATAGCCTGAAAACAGAAAGAGGATGTCTGGGGAAATCTAAGATCCATCTCACTCGGTGCTGAGGGAACACTGCAGAGGCTGCTCTCGACACGATGCAAATGCAACAGCTGCTATAAATCTATAAAAGGGTAAACCCATTTTGTTCCAAGGCGGCAGGAGCAAATGCATTTCAGAATCAATTGTCTTCTTTAATTCTAGACTAGAGCCGACTCTCCTTAGAGAAACTGCTGGTGCTCCTGCTAATCCTGTTCCCTTTTTACCCCAGACCACCATCCTCTCTTTCTATAATTCATCTCTCTGTCACTTCTGGCTCTTTCTGCTCCATTGTACAAATGCTTTGAGTGCAGAAGCAAGACGTAAGCAAGTGAAAAGGAGAGAAATCGCCAAGGTGATTCATCTTTTCGGGAGTGACGGCGAATGCAGCAGACTGTGGAGAGACCTGCTGGCCTGTGTGGGCTTTGATGGGAGGCTTGAATGTTCAACAAGCTGTGTGGCCTGAAATCCTACAGCTATTAGAACAGGCGAAAACAGATCGGAGGGGGAGAAATAAAGGGTTTGAAGATACTCTGGTCCTGATGGGGACTCACTGCAAAGAGCGAGAGGATGTAGGCTCCTGCTCCCACGCCGATGCCGATCATGCTGTTGACCCTGCGGAGAAACCATTGGTTACAGCGAGACTGTCGACAAATGGTCAATTAATGCACATGATCATCGATCAGCTCAACACAGGGCACACTCACTTTAGCTGAGTCATCACAGAGGGCAGCATTTCAGCCAGCTCCTCCATGGTGGGGTAGCGATAACTGGAAACAGATTAAATACATGAAAGTCGATGTCAAAAGTGAGTATGAGGTCATTTCATCACGTTTGAATTAATCAAAAGGAATTGAGTTTATGACAAATTGAAAAGCTCAAATCAAGGCTGTGCAATTAATCGTATTTTAATCTTGATTTTGGCTTGCAACGATTACGAAAACAACGTAATCGAAATAAAACGATTATTATATTTTTTTATTTGTATTGGTTTATCAGTTGAATTATACTTAAAGTTCAGGGTAATCAACTGTTAAAAACATATTGTTCAAATATTTTTTTCAATAAATGGATGTTTTCAAAGTAAATGGATAATCGTGATATCAATTATTGACCCAAATAATCGTGATTATGATTTTTGCCATAATCGCACAGCCCTAGCTCAAATGTTTCTTTTGTTATTAACAGGATAGGGTTCCATTCTCAATTGAACAAATGGATTGCAGCATTTAAAACTGAGTCTCCATTTAAGGGAGTTAAGTGCGTGTGAAACCCACCCGCTGGGGAAGGGAGGGGCACCCTCCTGCTGCCCGGGCGCGTCCACGTGAACCACTGCAAAGTGCTGCGTGATCTCCTGCATGTCCTCGTAGTTGAACAGGGTGTTGAAGCATGACTTGTCTAGAAAGGGAGAAAGTTAAGGAGATGAATCGTTGCAGAGGAGCCATGTGGGACCGTCAGAAGCTAAAACTAAACGCTGTCATCACATCCAGGACATTGTGTATCGATGAGTCTATTTTTGGCGGACTCACGGTTGAGGCCGATGTCGTGATAGGTGAGGATGACGGGTCTGTTGCCCTTGGGAACGCCTCTCATCGTCACATGGAGAACGCCATGGGGAGTCTCTATGTCATGCTCCTGCAGCCACAGAGAAGAAGAAAGAGAATGGGTTAGGAATGATGTGCGTATTCGGTGTAAAGAGAAAAAGCTTAAACAGAGGACGAAGTATTCCCCTCTTTTAATGTGACACGTGAGTCGTCTGATACAGGACAGCCAATGACGGCACATACCAATTTGTTTATGGCTCAAGTAATAAATAAACAACAATTCTGTCTTTGAAGCCTTATAAAGATTTGTTGCCCCAAAACTCCAGCATTGTCCAAAAACTACTACAATCATAATAAAAGGAGCCATTTGGTGTCATATCTCTTTGCAGTTCAGTTATTTTCAGCTTGCCAAACTAGCAGAGGAGTATCGGGAACTACATCCTTCCTTGAGCATGCTCAGTGTTGCTGAACAACCCATAAAGGATCACTGGAGATGCAGCTGAGGGCTGTTTCCAAATCTACAACATGTGTCCATGTTCATTGTAGTGGATGTCATCAAACGCAATGGAACAGCGCTAATATTTGGACACTAATGGAGCTCTATTGCATTGAGAGACGAGCTACATTCGCTCAGGCTGCACACACAATGTTACTAGTGACATACGATAGTTTCAGCTTTGAGAAACAATTACCACAATGCTTTATCAAGGCTGGAAAACAGCAGGTTTCCTTAAAGCAATCAGCCATTGTCGACAACATTGGAGTCTCAGATTCAGGATGCAAAGCATGCACCTCTCCTCCAGCACACATTCCTTGTAGCCTTGGACAAACAAAGCACCGAATATAGGCTCACTGGGAAAGTCTTTTCAGTGCATTCATCCGAGGGTCTGAAACTCACAGTGCATTCACAAGTATGACTCTGCAAAAGTAAAATGTCTTTGCAGAATCCATTAAAATTCCAAGCGCTCACACCAGCTCCCTTCCCTACATAGCCTTGGTTTGAATATCTTCACCTATCCAACATGAGCAAAGAATACATTCAATGGTTTTAGCTGACACCCACTGGAAGACTGTGAAATGTGATCAAGATAAATCAGGGGGATTAGTTAAAAGATGACATGGCAAAGAAAACGCCGAGAGGCCATCATGAATGTTTCATGAGCCAGTGATAAAGGAAGTGACATAACGGGAAGCGATAAAATATACAGGAAGTGATAAATTCAGAATCACAGCATCACGAAAACACACCCAAGGTCAGCATGACATAGCTACGTGTGTGTGTGAGTGTGAACTGCACGGGCGTAGCCGAGTGCCCGTCTGGTCTCAAGGCCCACTGGTCATCAATAATAAAGAGAGCGTGTGCGGACGAGAGGCACCGGTTACGGCTGACAGACACAGAGTCCGACTGGGTCCCCCTCCTGCTCGCCACTGCAGACATTTGTCCCATGGATGTGTGTCACACTCTCCACAGAGGTGGTGAAGCTACTTTCTCAAGGACGAGGCTGCAGCAATATACATCTGCAATCTGTAGTGGACACAGTAACACAAAAGGAACAAATGCTGCTCTCGTCAGCGACCAACTCAGATATCCTCGTTGTGTGGGAGTTGCTATAGAGATAAGGCAGTGGCACAAAACATGAAAACCATGCGAAACGCTCACAGTCTGTGTGCTACAATGTAACCTCTCAACCGGAGATGGAACAAACCATGGAGATACTGTGTTGCGGACAGTTAGCCTTGCACTTATCGGAGACCTTTCCACAGGAGATAATGAAGTGACTCTGCAACCTCGGCCTGGTGGGGGTGCAGAACAACCTGTAATAGACTCAATTTGCTACTGCAGAATTGTCTAGCTTTGACACAAGGACAGAGTCAAGGGCACTGGAGGCTTTGCTCTAAGAAACAAGGCAAACGCACGGGTGCAAACGCAGGCCTTCTGTCATGTACTGAACATTCGCTGAAGAAAGCAGGCAAGTACGCCGGTCCAGAGATAGGCAATACATTTAAAAAAAGGTGATGGGAACCTAGTGGGGGGGGGGGGGAGATGATTAGATACAACTAAAATATAGCCTGGAAGGTGGTTTGGAGAAAATGGAGCGTGAAAGCAGGGACAGAGAAAAAAGAGAAGACAGGAGGAGTCCTGTATGACTAAGAGAAGGATGCGTCTTGAAACAGAAGGGCCGCATTAATTTATCATGCCTTTCCAATCATGTGCTGGCAAAAAGAACAAGAGGTAGAGAATCATGAAGAGAGATTACCCTTTATTTATCCATTTAGCTCCTGGCATGGTGACATAGCTGTATTGATCTGGGAGTGCTGCCTCCCACCATTTACTTTCACAGATACATGTGTGTGTACACACCGCAGCATCTCAAGAAATCAGACACGGGGTGTGGCGGCTGGCCTGGACAGCTACAGAAGGAGAGCACTGGAACCCTTTTATTGTCTTTAATACATCCATGGCGACTAGTAGAAGGACAATAAGTGTGTGTGGATGTTTTAGGGGCAGGTGAGAGAGGAATACAGAGTAGGGGGTTGTGCTTTGAGGAGAGGGGCTTCATGAGGCATTTGGGTGTGTGCTCCCACCATCAAGGAGGGTGAAGGAGGTTAAAAAAAAGGAGAGCAATGTGTCAGTCTGCTCCTCTTCCCGCAATCCCTCTCTTATCAATCCCTCCTCCCCCTCCTGCCTGTTTTCCACGCCCTGCCAGGACCGGCATCAATCTCACCAGAGAGCAGCATTACAGGGCAAGAAACACCAAGCAGGCCCCCCATCAGGGTGCAAAGGAATTCAACGTACACACAGGATGCAACACAGACACACATGTCATGTGTACTGTATGCATGTTCTCCAGCGGGATCATCCCAGGTACATGTCCCCCTACTCTCTTTGCCACAAACACAGCCCCCCTGCCTGCAGCACACATCATGAAGCAGGGGGAGGAAACTGCTAACTCTCTGCACAAAGTCTCTGCAGCAGTGATTTTTGTCGTGCAGTGTGTGTAGGGGGTGAGTGACCTCCCTGCTTGTTCTACGTGATAACAGAATTAGAAAACACAATGCTGGCACTATGAGCCATCTGCAGCCGCTCTCAGGCAAAACACGCATTCCTGCAGTTATTGAAAGACCTGAAAATACTCATTTGAGACGCACTGGAACACGCAACACAGAACGACCCCACTGACGGCACGTACACATCATCATCATTTTTGTTGTGGCGTTTGCAGATTCAGAGACACTNGACACTGAACACATGCATCTTTCATACCCTCACATTAAAATGCACCACTGCGCCCTGAGCATGTTTAGGCTTTGCAGACCACACACACGGGCGCTGTGACACACACACACACACACACACACACACACACACACACACACACACACACACACACACACACACACACACACACACACACAGAAAAAGCCCAAAGTCACAGCCGTCTGCTAAAGGTGGTGACAGGCAAGCCAGGAAAGACCCCCACCAGCTTTTCCCTTCCCAGAGCCAGCTGCTGTCCCCTGCTTTAGGGAACCCGCACAACAACCCCCCCACCACCACAATATGAATCTGCAAGGACCAAGCCAGGTGTGTCATAGCAGGCAAGATGCATTTGTCACTCACCACTCCATTCCCAGAGCATGCAATCTGGTCCAGGTCCAGAATAGCTGACATGTTTTCCCACGCAGGAGAGCAGAGTGTTATGCTATGTGCAAGTGTGTGCTGGGCAGCTCTGAAGGTCTCCAAGAGCAGGAGGAGGAGGAGGAGGGCGGGAGTGTGATAGGAAGGGAGGGATGTGAGGGTGAGGCAGCAGCGACAAGGAAGACGGAGAAGAGAGGGAGGAGAAAGACACAGCAGAGGTAAGTGAGGAGGAGATGGGTAAATAATCTGAATGGAAGCAGAAGAAAGAGGAGGGGTCGGATAAGATGCAGAGAGAACAAGAGAGGATGTGGGAAAGAGAGCAGGGAAAAAGAGACCGAGAGGGGGAGGAGAGTGAGACTGCAGTTTGTGCTTTGTAGTCACAGCGCGTCCGTGCATCCAGCCACCGGTGCGTCTAATTGGATTGCAGCGGGTCAGGTGGGTAGAGGGAGAGGGGTGGCGCTTAGAGGAGAAAAGAGGAGGGGGAGGGTGGATGGAAGAGGGGGTGATGGGGTGCAGAGGCAGACCTGGAAAACAGGCGGGCTGCTGACGTCACAGCGTGATAAAGTGGAGAGAGAGGAGGCTGACTTTGACAGCTTCCCTGGGCTGCATCAGCAAAATGGCTGCTGAGATTTAGCAACAAGCGCCCAGATTCACGTTAGCTTCACCTTGCTGAGGGGGGAGACAGTGAGTGACCTCAGCCTCCGGATAACTCACACCTCAACACCTCAGACCCAGATATAACCTTGCAGAAAAGAGTAGTGTAAAATGCAGCATGCCCCATCAATAGCTCTGCTGCAAATGTCACTGCAGCACTAGCTCCAGTGTTCATCTGGGTATTGATATTCAGCAGATAACCCTCATTATGTTGCAGGCTTACTGGAAAGAAAAACCCACAACGAGCTACTATTTTTATACCCAACCCTACATGAGAGGATCCATTTCCTCTGAACCCGTCTCTGAATCATTTGATCCACATAGTTTATTGATCTACTCTCCTCTGTCATCTGCTAGCAGAGCAGAGAGTCACGCTTCTGTGGGAGACAGACAGCTCTGTGCAGCCAATAACTAACATGCAGACAGCACAGAGTGGGTGGGCTTACAGAGAGAAGGGGGACTTCATTGGTGGGTTGGTATAGCAGCATGTTTGGTTGCAAACTCTCCTCTAAATGTTCCCTGTCCTAACCCACAGAGGGTGCCACTGACACACATGTAATGCATGTATTTCAGCAAATAAACACGATATGCAGACTAGACAAACAATTTAATACAGAAAACATAAAAAAATAACATCTGAACTTTTGAGGAATCCAAATACATATGGATCATATTTATTTTTGATGCATGTATTGCTTTCCCAGACACATTTTTTTAATTTTGCAGTGCATGGTTTGCAAAAAACAAATTGTTTACGGTGTGTTTATTCAAGGCACATTGTGGTGCGAACGAGCCTCATTTGACGTATACTGTGACGTTACACCAGATTATGATGTTATGGGTCACATCAACTCATGACGATTGTGTGTGGGACTGAACACATGTTTACCGTTTCCTCGACAGAGCAGGAGCCTCTTTGTGTCACACACTGACTGAATAAAGGTCACACACTGTGTCATTGTGTCTCAGCAGGACTCCGCAGTCTGAGTAGCAAGACGGCCATGCAATGACGCTCGGATCTGCAAAGCTAGTTCTAGATAGAGCTTTGCATCGACACTGCCAGAATCTGAGGTTTATTACCTCGAGTACATCAATTTGATTTGATTCTAATAGCCCAGTATTACAGATCACACATTTGTCTCAAGGGGCTTTAATTTGTGTACAGCATGCAACGCCCTCTATCGTTAGACCCTCACAGCGGACAAGGAGAATCCCCCAGGGAAACCCCACGATGAACAGGGGGGAAAAGGAGAACCCTCAAGGACAGCAACAAATGAGGGACACCTCAAACATGGAAAAGATGTCCAAGCATATTAAACATGCACAACAAGCATAGGAAACTTTTATTAAACTGTGTTCATTTGTCATGACATGAAGTATCACATGACAAAGGACATTTTTACAATCCGTCTCAGACTACATATCTGCGACATAACACATTTAAAATAGATCAACAGTGAAGCATAGTGGACTAAAAAACCATCACACAGGCCTCGAGCCACGCAGTGAACAGGCTTATGGCGCCCTCTGCTGGGCTTACTGAGACAGTGAAGAACACAAGAAAGCAAAAGACATGACTTGGCAGCCATTTGTCTGAAAAACTTCTACTTGTCTTTGTGTAGCAACGTTACAAGGTCAAAAAGACAAAAATGTAACAAAACCGGACATAACCAGGAAATGACAAACCTTTAATGACTAACAACACATTTTAGCGCACGTTACTCCCTCACTGGCGTGGGACCATGGGACACCTCAACAAAATCACGCCTGTTAGCTCTCCTGGCTCCAAAATGGTGGAACGAGTTCACCATTTATATCAAGACAGCAGATATCTACACATCTTCTGCTGCCTCACAGGTTAGCAATTACAATGGTTTGGCCTATTGAGAACTAATGTACTTGCAGGATTCTTGCTTTTTTGAGGTTGTGTTTTCATGTTAAATGCACTTATTGTAGGTTGATTTGTAAAAATGTTCGGCTAAATGAAATGTAATAAACAATTATCTCATATTAAATTAGATACAACTGTATTGTCATTGCACAGAGTACAATAACTATGACAATGAAATGCAGTTAGCATATAACCAGAAGTGCAAACCTTCTGGATGGTATTAAAGTGCAGTGTAATGTATAGTATAATATAAATAATCTAATAGTCCCAATTACAAGCTTACAAGCTAAAACATCACATTCATTCAGATCCATCTCAACGTTTTGCTCTCCACCACAAACACCATCCACCCTGAGATGTTCTATTTTTAAAATGAACAGTCAGCTATTTCCATTTCCATGAAGTAACCTGGTGTTCCAGAGTATGCACTTTAAAACCCAGTCGGTCTCAAGGGTGGCTGAGGCTGAGTCACACCTTCCTCACGACTCTGTGGCGTAAGCAAGACATCTGGTCAAAACTGCAGTACCACACCCTCCATGTTCTCCTCTCTGACCCCACCTCACCACCACCACCCACTATAACCGCCCTCCTCCTGCAGGTGCAGAGGGTGTGATATGTTGCAGTACCTATGGGCGCCTCTAGTAGGAGCTTTAGTTGTAGTCTAGAGGAGAGCAGCTGGATTTGTCCTCCAGCTGCAGGAATGTCACATCGTCTCTTAGAGTGATGGTGTGACCCCCGTGAGGAGCCCTCCCCCAAACACAATATATATTCTTATGATGTCTGCTGCCTTGAACTGCATGTACGCTCTAGTAGTTTTTATATTACTAAACTGATTAGATTGTGGTAGTCAGCTGCAATTGTATAATGCTCCATATTTAAATCGAGAGACTTTTGACATCACATTGGAGCTTATATCAGTTCATGTAAAACCAGCAAGCAGAAGCCTGTCCTACACAGAACATGCTTAAGATTAACATAGCAAAAAGTATATTCCATTTTATATATTTTACACTGAGTGGAAGAAGCAAACATTGACTCATGTGTGAGGAATACATTTTTATATAATCAATCTTTTGGGTTAAACAGCTTGCAACGGGGATACTGCAACTTATCCCAGAGACTGGGAATATTTTCTAAATTGCTATTCAGGATAGCTAACTCCTTTGTTTCAGAATGTTTCCCCTTTAAAACTAAACAATACATACATTTTCATCAAAAAATTCAGAAGGAAGATGATATTTTCTTGCTGCTCTTTATATAAAATAACAAGTTCTAGTTATTCTTAAGATTTGAATTCATTTGACATAAGGCCTTTTTCACAAGAGACATTGTGTCTTTTCATTGTAGGAAAAGCTCTATTCAAATGATATTCTATATGCAATTCGGTTATTATTTAAGAACCTGTGCTTTTACTGGTTTGATATGCAGAAATGTCTTCCATGAAAGAGGACAGGTATTCTATCCATCGAGTTCACACAGTGTTCAAAAACATCCCAAACAGCCCTACAAGGATCTGTCTGAATAATTCCTTTGGACTCCTGAATGTGACTGGGTGAGGTCAAAATGGCTGCCATGGAAAATAGGTTGAATACACTTAAGTCTGCCTCAATTCCTCTGAAAACAATTCTGGTTCAATTGTGCCTTTAAAGTACAACTGCAGCAGTTGATATGAATCCCATAGAGGGGGAGTGCAAAGGAATATGGCACTCCAATGATGAGCAGCTGCAGCATGTGATGAATGCTAATGTTTCAGTGACAATGTAGACAGGATTAGAGCATGTAGCATGCTCCTGCTAGCATGCAATCCTCTCCTCCTATGCCTGCAGGAGCTATGTTTAGCTCTGCTGGGATGCTGGATGCAGCCATGACTGCAGAAAGTGAGAGGGAGGAAAGATTTAACCCTTTGCTGCCTTGATGCTCATGAAACACAGCAGACAGAATGCTCGCCAGTGGGAGACTCCTTGCAAGGAAAAGCAAATTGCTAACGAAGAGGAGGAGGGGGAGGAGGAGGAGGGCTGGCATCCCCGCTCCCGACGCAGAGAAACCATCAAAGAAAGATCTGGAACAGTGCCCGCTCAAGGCCAATCCAGCTTTTTTCTTTAATGATAATTATTCCCACATTAACACATCAAAAGATCTGACTGTGTGGTTGAAATGCCGCAGCTTCTGTAACACAGAAACAATCACATCTTGCCGTAGAAGACTCTTTCTGACACGACTATAAAAAGATATGTGGAATCGCTGCACTTTTATTTCTCTTCCCGACATGTACTAAAAAAAGGACAGTCTCTAGGGGAAGTGTTCTAACTGAACAACTGGCCACATTATTTTTAAAGCTCTGCAGAGGAGGATGAGTCCAATAAGTCCACGGTGTATTTACTTTGATGGCACGATGCCATTATTGCAGGGTTTGGTATTAGCACAGGGGAGAGAGGCTTTGTGTTTAGAGCAACAAGCAATCGCAATGCTTACTTCTTATAACGTATATCCAGAACCACTAATGTGATTGGATGTTAGCTTTTCATATCAGGACACATGATCTGCAGTCCACAGAATTACAACTAAAAAGTGACTACAATATACATCCATGCAAAACAAAGAAAACCTCAATGTAATAGGTTTAATATAAAAACAGAGCCAATCATTTCAATCCAATACATAACGGTCTACCCAAAGACAGAGTGGTGGATCACTCACTATCAATGTCTATTACTTAACGTGCCTGTGAGGATGAATGTAGGGCATGTAAACAAGGAGGGGGAAGGCAGAAAGCCCCAACCCCCTCCTTCTTACACAACAGCATCCCCCTAA